AGAGGTTTCTAGCTAGCGGAATTTCGAGTGGTCTTATTACAGCACGAAACACTGCAAAAACGCATGTTCGCACGGGCTCGCCCGGTGAGCGTCGCCAATGATTTATTTGAAAATAATCCGAGTGCACACAGAGTATTCGAAATTGTGAAAAAGTGTAAAGCAGAAGACATGCTAAAGGTAGTAACAACGACATTTTGTTCACCAATTGTGAGGCGGTGTGATTAGACAACCAAGACGGAATTAAGCAATCTCCCTGTTTATCACTTTCTTCGAATAGCTCATACTGACCTTCGACAAAGTTCGTTACCGCTTTATTTCGAGATAGAAGTCCGCAGACTACAAATTAATAGCAGATATTGTATGAATTCATTAACAACAGATATTGTTTGAATTCAGCAGAGAAAAAGCGAGTAGTTTCTTACTGTCATTTTAAAAAAATACGATAAATTTGGCATAAGAAAACGGAATTTGCCTCATTCAAGCGAAAGGAACTAATATTCAGCAAAAAGACACCCGTTTTTGTTTTACCATAAAAAAAAAAAATTACCAAGCGTGAGTGCTTTTTCTCTACCAATATACAGGTATGAGAAAAGTAGCAGAAACAACATTCGAATTTCAACTACCATTTGTAAAATTTAATATCAGCAAGAATAGGATTTGAGGGATTAAGGTCGGAGAATAGAGAGGAGGGCCAATTTACAGCTTGTGTACTTGAACGCTGTGGACAGTACGCCCTTCTGACTCGCAAGGCAACAGTAGAATCGCATATAATAGGCACTATAGCAAAACTGCAACACATTTTTAGAAATATGAGCTATCTGTGGGAAAATCTCACTAATCTGCCTGCAAGTTTCACAGAAATCCCGTACGCTGCACCACTGGCATCGCTTTTACCGGAAAGAGTAGCATCCGTCATGCCTTGTTGTGTTCCATATTTGGCGAATGCGCTTTGTTAAATTTTGGAATTCAGTTTTCTGCACTGTCTGTGTTTCGTTTAAAAAAAATTTGTAACCTTGCCTTAGCGGAAACTTTAAAAAGTACTCTTCTCGTAATAGCTTGGATAACTAAGCCAAAAAATCTTCATATTATTCATACAAAGATAAACCAAAAATCATGAAATCTTCGCATTATTCTATTGACAAGGAACTATAAGCGATGTTAGAATGTTTCTAATCTTTTAAAAAATCCATCTGCTGCCTAACTGCTTTGTAGCCCTCTGAGCGAAGAAAAGAGCTCACTATAAATGCTGTATCAGAATGCTAACAGCTGGACAAAGATAGCTTGTATTTTTTTGCGAAAAGCTTAATGTAAAACGAAATTTAATAAATGAAAGCAATTTGGTTGGACAAAGGCCGGTTTGATCATATTTTAGTACATCTTAGTGCCCTATTACAGATTAATCGACTGAAACAGAAACGTTTCAAATTATTTTTCTTGTAACTATATAGTGCCCAAGATAGTTTCGGTGGCAAATCATTAATGGTTCTTGCAAAAAAAGCGAATAAGTAGTCAAACACCTCAAATAAAAACTTATTGTGTAAGAGGCTTGCTCCTGCTTCATGTATTCGACACAACTAGCCAGAATCATCATGCAACGCTTTTTATCTGCATAAATAAAAAAGCTTCAGTGAAATCAAGTAAGTGAAGTTTCTAGATTAATGCCTTGTTTTGCGCAAGTTACGGGTCCGAAAACATTGGCCTTTTGGTAGTGCCAAGACAGGATAAGTTCTTTGCGTGACTCACAGTCTGATGAGTCACGTAATGTGCACCTATTGTTGCACAGATTCCAGCCTATTTGGCACTCCTCCACGGCCTCTTGAATAGGGCTTTACCATAATGAGCATATGCGCAGTTAGGAAAGTAGGGCGTCTGCACCACTAACCTTCTCCATTTCAATAGACATAAAATTCCATCTTTTCGTTTACAGCCTAAATGCAAAGTTAATCGTTCTAGGGCGAAGCATTACCGCGTTTTGGAAAGTTCGATAAATTCGTAAGCTGCAGTATAGTTAAAATTTTGACAAACTTCCTTCTTTGGGCTGTTACGAAGCGGCATAGGAGGAAAACTGGTAGCACCGCTCCGAGGGTATCAATGTTTCCGAAGTACGGTTTTTTGAAGGAGGACCACTTAAGTGTTAGGAACAATGCGAAGACCTTGCTTTCTTCACTTGTAAGACCCATGCTAGAACGCACCAGGTTCGCCGGTGCGATTATGCGTTTCGCACTAAGCATGAATTGCATGAATAGTTGCTGCTTCAAATCTACCTATACCTTAAATCATCGCAGATTTTGTATAAACAATTTACGTTTAACGGCCGCTTTTTGAAAATGACTCAGCTGTTCAACGAGCAATTTCCCCGCCAAAAAAATTAAGTTCTCGTACACGAGAACCGCGCGTAACTGAAGGCTGAATTTGAAACCTTTAAGCTGTATTTGGGCGGGGAATGTTCTCCTAAAAATTTCAGCTTTCCAGCTTTTCTTGCTTCTGAGTTAACAATTTTCCCGCCAAAATTTTCACGTGCCCGCACGTAGGGCCCAGACGAGCATGAGGGTGGGTAGCGCGGTCCTGAGATGGTACTTAGCAGGGGAACCAGCTGGCAAAATTTTGGCGCCGGAGCTTGCTTGGTTGCCGAGTTGAAATATCCGAGTGGACGAAAATACACGCACCTACACACAGACAGGTTCGTCGCAATATGCGTTTTTGCAATTTGTATACATGTAAAAATGCATAAAAAAGACCAGCAATAAGCACCAGTTGGTGGATGATGCCACAATAACCACGCATAAGTCGCCAGCTGCATCTGCAGCGCAGAGTGTAATACAAGAATTAGTTACAGCAGCAGCAACCTTTATTAGAATTCCCACCCAGTGCAATATTTATTATGTCGTAAAAATTATCCGCTTTTAAAATTGTACATAATGACATTAATATGCCTTTTAAAAAAAAATAAGTGGTCAGTGGCACCTTCAAAAACACCTTTTCTGTTCCATTACTACTAGCTAGCTAAGCTGAATGTAATTTTTGGCAGTTAAATTTAATTGGTTGAACAAAATAGGGCACATTCTCTTCACAGTATTAGATTTACCAGGATATCTGTCTTACCACATTCTAACAGTTTTTAGACATAAAGATTTCAGTACATTTAGGATAAGCTATAAATTACGGCGCGCACTGGGTGGCCGACGAGGCCAAGCGTTTCATGCAATTCTACTTAGCTGAAGTTGAAAATGCCAACATCTTCCCATTTTAACTTTCCCATAATCGCACCTGAGACATAGGTGTGCGAGAAAGCTAAATTTAAACTTTCAGCGTGAAAAGCAACCCTTCAAAATTTCAGTTTGCTATCTTATTTGGTTCTCAAATTAGGAAATTTCTTACCACTACTTTCGCCCCTCCGCACTTAAAATCTTGGCGTGTCTAAAAGCTGAAATCGGATTTCCACAGTTGCCCATTGAAATAAAAATCTGTGTAATTCCCGGGGTAAAAAATTCCCAGCCGAAATTCTCATGTGCCTGCCGTAAGTTGCAGGCACATGTGAAAGCCAAATTGAATCACAGTAGCACTTGGAGAGGAAGCATCTTCCTAAAATTTCAGCTCTCTGTCTTGTCGGATTCGTTTGTAAAACAGTTTTCCGTCAAAAATTCCGCGTGCCTGCCATGAAACCTAAGCGTGCATGTAATTTGAACTTAATTTTCTACAGTAAATGGACACCAAGCATCTTCCAAAAATTTCCAGCTGTCTTCTGGTTACCAAGTTTGTAGGTCTCCCATCAAAATTTTTATATGAGCCAAAGCTCTTTATGTATGCAAACCACATGGAAGCTAAATTTAGGTTTCTATAGCTCCACATGGGCAGGAAATGTAGTTTAAAACTTTTGGTTGCTGATAATACCCCAAAAGAAAATACACGCTGACAGGATCTCAAAATTAATGTATTTTCATGCGTTGGGTGCCGCTGCTGCAGTGCAAAATGCAGGAAAATATAACGAACATGCAAGCAGCGAATTCTTCAAACATGCAAAGTTGATTTTAGAAAAAAAAAATAGTGCGGGAAAATTGTTGGTGCAGTATCTTGAGTTACTTTCGCGCGACTGCTAGACCAAGAATAGTTAGCAAATTGTCAGGTATGCATTTGCAATCGTGGGTTAAGCCGCTGCCGAAATCCTTGCATCTTCCTTTACATGCACCCAAATTGTCGATGCATCGAGCACGGCCGCTGTCATATGTACAACCACTGGCCTAGAATTGCGGTATTCAGTTCAACGGTCTGCGATGTATCTTATCCAAATTTTGCTTTAGATCATAGCCTCATTTCAGCTTAAACCGATTCACAGCTTTTATATTTCAAAATCTTTACAAAGAACCGATAAGTCTTAGGGTTAAACTGCGTTTTTGGGGAAATTGAAATTAGATTCTTTCACCAAGAAATTTTAGTCCTGACAGTTACTAAGTTTTAGCCAAGAATTTTTAAAACAGAGCAAAGTGATGATGAATTCCAGTCGAGGTTTTGTCACATTTTTACGAAAAACACTTTAGAAAATACTTTTTATGCATTTTGTGCTGCAATAGTTGCGTTTACTTTGATTCCCAGTGATCTTTATACAGCACAAAATGCTGTGAAAGTGTGTAATTGCACAGGCCCGCCTGCTGTGTGTCGCAAATGACTGCACTTGCATACATGCAAAAACATAAAAAAGATGACTGGTACCTCGAATTTATCTTTATCGTTGAGTATGTTAGCTCCCAGAAAATGTGTATTCAAAGTATTTGATCCCAGTGCTGCCATGCCTAAATTGTTCGAGAAAGGACCACGACTAAGAAAATCTGTCGGAAATGCTGGATATTGTGGTGGCATACCACTGCCATATAAAGCAAACGCTCGCGGCACCATTTCTGCAAAGGAACTGAGTTTCAGAATGTGAAATTACTGATCAAAAAATAGTACCGATAAGTCTTATTAAAGTAACACTAATTGTGAATGTGAATTGCGAATCAAGCGCTGCAGACGCTATCAATTAATCTGACGCAAATAATTTTTTCGAAATTTTGATATCTGCGCAGGTGGAAACACATCGCTTTTGGGCCGGATCTGGTTAAAATGCGCTGAAGTAGAAACTTGAGGTTAGGCTCTTATAGAAAAGAATGTCGATGGAGGCCTGCAGCTGAAAGTCTGTACAGAACAACGAGAGCAGCTACCCGGAAGAGCATTCATTGATTGAGTAGCCCTACAGAATCACCTGCCTTTCATAAAAGAAACGCATGCACTAAAGGGAATGTCATACGCAAATGCAGTGGCAGATTTGCAATAAGGAGCTAATTTCAAATTCGAGTGTGCCTCACGGCATTGTCTTTTCATTTTTATGTTACGCTCTTTATTCTGCAACAACTGCACAAAACGCATATTGTCAAGACCCTGTGTGTGCATTTTATTTGAGGGTTTCAGCTCGGGGACCAGAGGAGCTAGGAAGCTGATATTTTAGTATAGTGCTCCGCGTGCAATCCCACCAACTCGAATTCAGCTTTCACGACAGTCGGGTATCACTTACGACCCCGTGAAAGTATAGGCTGGGGGAATTATCTCGGACATCACGAAAATTGGGAAGCTGAGTTGTTAAGGTAATGTCTACTGAACCCCACGATCCACCAAATTCAATTAAGTCTTCCCGCTCCTGGATATCACGCTTGGCCTAGTGAAAGTTTTGGCGAGGAAAATCACCCTTTCGAGAGCCATAAAATCTAGGAGGCTGAAATTTTAAGGGAGTGCTCCTTGCTCGCGTACAATTCCAGAAGTTTAAATTCAACCTTCCTGTTCGCCCGAGTACCACCTGTGGTCCCATGAAAGCTTCGGTGAAAAAAACCACATTCTCAGGAACAGCGAAAGCAAGAAGGCTAAAAATTTAGGGTAATGTTTCCTGCCCACGTACAATCCTGGAGACTCGAATTCAGCTTTTAGTAAGTCTGTGTTTCTCGTACAGCCCTTTGAAATTTTTGGTGGAAAAAATTATCTCAGGGGCGAGAAAAGATGTGAGGCTGGAAGCTTCAGGAAAGTGTTTTCTGCTTATGCAGGGGTCTAACAAAATCAAAATTAGCTCGTAAGCGTGAGGAAGTCTCATACAAGGTCATGTGAAAGTTCTGGCGCGAAAGTTTCTCGAAAGCCGAAGAAACAAGAGTTTGAAATTTTTGAACAACGTTCACTGTCTAAGGTTTCAAATCCAGCTTTCATGTACGTTTGCGTTTCATGTACTGGTGCATGAAATTTTTAATCGGGAATTTTGCAGCATAGGAACCACACACATTGACTAGTTTCTTACAAAGCAAATTGTAAAACAATGAAAATCCCTAGAACGCAAACTCTCGCTGATCGTAACTGCGAAAAAAGCATGATCGGACCGGCTACACTGGTGCGCGCCGCTGTTTACTCTTTAAGCAGAAACTTCATTTGTGATATGGTAAATTGGTCGCCTCATGGTACTGTTTAGTTTGTGCTGTTTTGGGTGATGTCGTTTTGAAGCCATGTGACATAAAAATATTCTTGGTTTTTTCCAACGCGGAAAAACTTTATCCCAAAGCCAAACATTGTGACAGTTATCATCAGCTTTTACAGATCTAAGTCTGATTCGTCCACGTCTAAGATGTAGCGTACTCAGCTTTTTACACTCAATCAACTTCCTATACTTCGTTAGCGATTTGTTTACTCGGCTGAAACCATATTTTTCTGTAACGCTTTCACAAACAAAATAATTTCATTAAACTTTCCTAAGGTTTTGAGACAAGGTGCTTACAAGTTGTTATGCGTTTTTGCATATATGCAAATGCAAAAACGCATATTGTGATGACCCCGGTGTGTGTGTGTGTGTGTGTGCGTTTGTCCGGATATTTCAACTCGGCACCCAAGCAAGTTCCTGTACCAAAATTTTGCTGGTGGGTTCCCCGGCCAAGTGCCACCTAAGACCGCGGTACCAATCATCACGCAAGTCTGGGCCCCGCGCACAAAAGTGTGAAAGTGTTGGTGGGAAAATCGCTAATTCGGAAACTAGAAAAGCTAGAAAGTTGAAATTTTTGAGATTATGTCCCCACGTCCCCATAGAACTCAAAAATTTCAAATTCAGCTCCCAGACATGCGTGGTTCCCGCGTATGCCCCCGTGAGGCTTTCTGGCGCGAAAACCGCTAGCTCGAGAACAGGGGGAGCTGAGGAGCTGAAATTTTTAGCGAATGTTCCCGACACATGCACGGCTTAAAATTACCAAACTCAGCCTTTAATCATGTATGGTGCTCACCCTCGTTCCCGTAAAACTTTTTGCCGGGAAAACTGTTGACTTAGGAACCAGGGAAGGTAGGAGGCTCAAATTTCCAGGAAGTGTTCCCAGCACACGTAGAAATTAAATTAACAAAGGCTGGAACGCACCAGGCGAGCCGGTGCGATCATGCGTTTTTGCATCAAAACTAA